GATACATTTGTCAATAGGGTTGTTTATTTTCAAAATAGCTTTGGCAAAATGCATGCTGCTTCCAATAGTATGACAGTAATCCTATATTAGTACTCAATTCAGGAAGGAAATAAAAACACGCCATGTTTGCATGTGACCACTGACATGAAAAATTAAACTCTTGAGGTGCTGAGTATAAATGACTGGGGACAAGGAATGGTTATAAATCGTTAAGGAGTATGGAGGCTATGTAATATTGATTAGAACAATTACAACAAAAGGAATGAATGAAACATAGACTACTTGAATTGAGGGTCAAAGTCTATCCCAAACTGTCATGGAAACTCCCTATTTGCTCAGTTTTGGAGTATTTTGCCTTGTTTGTCAGAATAGAACATCTACCTGTTTTAAGAAGGCAACACAGGACATCTGTTTGGCCTTCATTTACTGGTCTTGTCTTAGACATATTTTTATTATGATAAAATAGTACTCATGTCAAAATGCCTAAGTATCATGGCAATAAATAAAAAAATAAATGCTTATATCTAGGCTGAACCTTGACACATATAAGATATCATCTCTTGAATTATAAGTGTTTTTAAAAATGTGTTGGCTGAGATCCAGATATAGGAATGAGTAAGATATTCCTCACAGAGCCAGAACGAAAAAGAAATAAAAGGAGAAGGAAGGAAGATTATGAACACAAAGTAATCAAGAGAAGTAACTAAACAAATCTCAAATGTTATTTCCTCAAAAAAGTTCAATTTCGATTTTCTGCTCTGAGGCTGGGCACCCTGCTTTGCTATGTGATTTCACGTCTTCCTCCTTCCTTGAGGGCAGCAGAGTCCGATTTACTAGTGCCTAAGGCAGTGCCTCCTCAAAGTAAGAATTCAGCACTGATCTGCTGAGTGAATACAAGTAGACTGGCATGTGAGTCAAATATATATTAAACTTCAGATCAAGGAGATTTCGTGGGATGAATATTAAAAACGTAAATGTTTGAGAATGAATGAAGATTTCAGCTAAAGCGGAAGCTCTTGGGCACAAATCACTGCTATTTTATTAAGGCTACAACAGAACGATGTGGCTGGGGTTAGGGAGGGCAGGGATGTCAAAGACCTCTGTTAAAGTACTCAGCTCAAAAGCCTACAAAACACTGTGGAAAAGAGCACTCCCACAGTGACCTGACTGCGCATGTGTGCTTTATAGTTTAACAATCATCAGTACGGGCAAGCGACTGTGTTTCCTTTTAACTCAGTCATAGTTTTATTGTCCTGGGGGAAAAACTGGAAACACATAATCTCAAAGTGGGCTCAGGAGAAAATAGCCCAAATCCTACTATTTTTGTTGGGGAGGGTGTCATTTATATTTCTGTGAAATTTTTATTTTGAGAACTCTTTTTGTCTTCCAACAGGAAAAACAAAACACAACTGCCTTCTTCTGGTTCTAGCATAAAAAAAAAGAAAGAAAGAAAAATAATCTGGTTTTCGTTTGTTTATTTATTTGTTTTTTAGGTTCACCAAAATATAAGACATGATGGCATAAATGCACAAATACTGGCAATAAAAATACACATTTTTATTTTTTAAAACTGTCAAAAACAAAGAAATGATATAAGATATGATTTCTGCATGATCAAGCATGTCAAAATCCATTGTGCAGAAATAGAGTATTCAAACTCATGCACAGAGTGATAAATTATTCTGAATGAGTTTTCCCTTTGACTTGGAACTATCCTTTCTTCCAAGGTGCCCCCATTATTTGCTGGCTGACATTTCAATAAAAATATTGTATTTCTGTTAGGCCTTGAGCATTTATAACACAATTATAAGAGGCAAATCATCTTGGGAGACACAAATGCCCCATGTGAATGACAGTGAAATAGACATAACAGGTAGCCAAATCAATCACCAGTATTGATAATATTATATCATATATTTCATAAGTTCTTCAAAGTGGAAAAAACATTGTACCAAGTACACAAAGTAGAGGTTCCCTTATGAACTTCCTAAGGATTATTGGGAATAAGGATTATTCTAACACATCACTGAAGTTTTCTATCATGAAGGGCAACTATTTAACTTCATATTGGCTTATAAGTTATTATATATCAATTGTTATTACACTTTACTTATTTATTTAGTTTGTGTATATGGGTGTGGGTATGCACACATGGGAGGTCAGAGGTCAACTTACAGGTCCCTGTTTTCTCCCTCTACCATGTGGGTCCAAGGATGGAACTTAGGTCATTAGGGGTGACAGCCAGCACATTTAAGTGGATCATCTTGACAGCCCAGATATCTTTATTTTTAACTATGTTCTCATTTCATATTTTTTTCTCTAAGCACTCAAGGGAAAGTAAAGAACTATAAAATGCTAAAAGACTTAAAGGAAAAGATATTTTAAGCATGCCATTTGCACACCTACATTTTCACATATGCTTATTTCCTGTTAATGACTACTCATGAGTGAGGACCATAATCTTATGATGCCAACTATTTGCTCCAGTTGGGAAGGGTTACATCAAGGTTCATTCACGATAACAGAAAATGGCAAAAGCTTCTGCCGATAGTTCTTACTAATAATCATTCTAAGGAAATGGATAGAGCACAATAAGTAGAGTATCATTCAGAAATGTAGTAACTATTGGCATGTAAGTCATGGCCTCGACCCAGGAAAAATTAAGTGTCCTCGGCACCTTGGAGGACGGGTGAACAGTAGTAACTATCTTCATCATGGCTCTGTTGGAAATACTTCAAAAATACAATACCGGTTCAATGTGTTCTTTAACATGGTTCTTCTCCATCCCCTTAGACAACGGAGGACAGCTAAAATATTTCTAAAATCTCGAGACGACCCAATGTGCATATGCCACTTGATTAAACATATGGAATATATATTTGGAGAAAAGCCAACTGGAGACCTGTTTGAGTAATCTAAACACCCGAGCTGAGAGGAGTTAACATACAGAGATCAGCTTTGCACTTTGAAGTTTTCTGGCCTTCATTTTACCTAATTAAGACAAGATTTAATAATCAAACCACTGTATAAACGTGTACCTCAAAGTATAGGTTTGTTTCTAATTTGGGTTAGAATTCTTAACAGATTCCAAGGAATCAGGCCCACATGGGAAAGGCTGCTGATAAGATTTGCTTTGCCCATTGCTCAAATGCAAATGCCTGCTTTTCATCTAAGTTTTATCCTGAGACTCAGCTGAGCATCCGCCTGCCAAAATCTCTAGTGTGATGCTGAAGAAAAAACAGGGCGTTAGCCTCTCATCTGGGTCTGAAACAGTGGCAACTCTGGGTCATAAAAAGTGAATCCTAAAATATTCTGGAGGTATTCATATAAAACATGTAGTCTCAAAGGGTCACACTTAACTGATTTATCAACAACAGAATATGTACACCCACGTATTTTGATAAATTGAGTGCCAACAAAGAATTAGCACAGTCCAATATTACTTTTATAAGTAAACCTAACTTTAAATCAAAAATTGTACGGTCAAGGGTATAATTCCTAGTCCTTCATCCCATATAAATTTCTTGTAAAGGGCATTTTTTTTAAAAGAACATGGCGTAGTTTTGAGTTGTTCTGGAAAGTTGCAAAACAGATAAACCTCTCTTTTTACCACTATGGGTTAAACCTGTACACTCAAGCTGATGAACAGTGCAACAGTTTCTTCCAAAAGAAACTGATTCAAAAGAAGTGAAATTAACAAACTTAGAGAAATTCTATGGCACTCAAATGCCTCGGAAAGAGGTTCTCAAATTTCCTGACACTGCCAAACTTCAATGGGTTTCCTCACGTTGTGGTGACCCCACACATAAAATTATTTTCATTGCTATTTCATAGCTATAATTTTGCTACCGTTATGAAACATGATGTGAATATCTGTGTTTGTCATTTTCTTAGGTGACCCCTGAGAAAGAGTCATTCGATCCCCAAAGGGATTATGGTCCACGGTTTGAGAACCAGTGGTCTACAAGCTCTCGTGAAAGAAGGTTGGAAAGAGCATCATTCCACCTCAGTACCTCAACCCACTCACAATACACGATTCCCACAAGGCAACGGGCTAGGCTGGACAAACTTGGTTTTAGTGTTGCTCAGTACTGCTCGGACTCTTTAGGCCAAGCTCCTTGCACGACTTCCTCATTGACTGGGACACAAGAAGGAAAGATTCAGGTTCAAAGGTTCAGGAAACCGTGTAGTTAGGCTGGCACAGATGAAGAGCCTACCCTTCCGCCATGAGGAAGATGTAAAGGACGTGATGCCATTCATGCCCACCAGGGCTTGCACTGCTGTGCTCTGTGCTTTACGCTGCAACAAAGCATTTCCAAGCTGAGCAGTGTATCTATTCATCAGCAAGCAGCTATGTGTGTATGTCACACAGCATCACAGAGAAAGAGAGAGAGATCATTTCCCTACAGATTCACAGAATGTGCTCCCCTGTGCTGTTGGATACCGTAACCACTGTCTCTTGTGGTTGGTTTAGTAGGAATACTCATGGTGTGTTATGGTACAGACCATAACCATTATTTCAGCCCAAATCAGAGTGCTGGAAAGAAAGTACCAGAAGTTTCAGTGAAACTGTTTGAAATGAAATAGGCACACGGAAAAATAAGCACAACCGAGATGGAAATATGTAGCCAAGAAATACAATGCTGGCTTACACTGTTCTATCTGCCAACGCCCGCATCACCTTTCTGACTTGTCAAAGCCACGCGTTTACCTGGCATCGTGCACAAGGCTTCGTACACACAGGATTTATGTGCCTGTGAATTAAGCCAAACACCTTCTCAATCTTAAATTATATCGTTTTCCCTTGATCTCTATTTTACTCCAACTGTCCTGTGAACATGAAAATGGTGAAAACAGTGATACTGTGATCCTGTCTTTCAACCCAGGTAGCTGGGCAAGGATGGCAACCTTTGCGCTATGTCTGCTCCCAGCGTTCTCCTCTCATACCCAGTAAAGAGAGCCCTGATTTGGGACCCATTGAGCTCTGCTTCATGGCTTACTTTGTTCATGTGGATCTGCTGCTGGTACTGTTTCTGCTTCTCCAGGAACTGCTGGTGCTGCTGCTGAATGACCAGCTGAGCCAGGGTGCTCTGAGGCAAGGGTGCAGACTGGGTTCGATTCAGGGGTCGGTGACGGGGCAATTTGTGGGAACCTCTGATACCTGGTGAAATTCTTTCTTTTGTTGCCAGAGGAGACTGAGGATGTAACGGGACTCCACCTGAAAAACAAAAATGTGAGTGTGTATGAGAGCGTGTGAGTGTGTTTACATTTGTGTACACGTGTGAGTGTGTGTATAAACGAAGACGTGCTGATACATGATTTTAAGAGATGACAAGAAGCGTTGCCTGTCAGACAACGTAAGAGGGTTCAGTTGTGACTGAAAGGCACAAGGCAAAGGCCTTGATCAGAAATGTCTGTGCAGTTGAAGCACAAACCAGTAACGAAGTTTGCTACATACAAAGAGTCCCTCCTAGCTCCACCCCACAGAGCAGGAATACGTAACGATCATAGCTCCTCCCACAGTGCCAAAGAGTTTGGCACTTGTACAGCAACAGGAATCATTATTATAGTTTTGAGTTAAAGAAATGCCATGCCAAATCACTGCCAATAGTCCTAAAAGAAACTGAGGATGATGTCATTATTAATTACCAGCCACAAGAAGCTTTTGCTGTCGCATTTGTTCCTTCAACAGTAGGTGCTGCAGGAGGGCTTGGTGGCTGCTGTTGGGCTTTCCCTCCAACGCTACATGAGCGTGGCTGGAGGGCGCTGCAATGCCACTGCCATACTGGCCAGGCAGAGGAACACCTTGCCTGAGCATCTGTGTCTCACACTTCTGCTTTTCTTTGAGTGAATTAGAAGCCTGTGTCAAGAAAGAACGAAAACGTTAGTGCTCCTCAACCCTGCCGACTAGGACTCTAGTTTTTATGTAGTCTGGGTTGTCCTGGACTCCCGTTGTATACCAGGCTGGCCTTGAAGTCATAGAGCTCCACCTGACTCTGCCTCCCTGAGTGCTGGGATTACAGGAGTTAGCCACCACATAGACTGAGGAAAATGGATAATACTGTATCTTTTACAATACAAGAATTAACAAGAGATACAGTTGAGACACTGGAAACAACTTAGCAATTGGGTATCAATGTACTGAGCATAAGAAAATTTAGTGTGAAAGATTAACAATGAAAGTAAATACAAACTTTCAGCTACACAGAAAAAAACAAGTTTAGATGTTTTGTTTTATGTCCTGGGGGTACTGGTTACATAACTAACAAAATATACTTAAATACCTCTTCGGGAGTAGTTAAATGTGCTCACCAAAGAAAAGTATGGGGAGTAAATGCATACATTAATCAGCTTAACTGATTACACTATACAGATTAAAATACCATGTTATAAACTATAAACTTGTGATTTTTATATATCAACTTAACAAATTCAAAATAAATTTCAGGTTTCATAAATGGGAAGCTTACTTCTAAAATACTTTAAAATGCACTGAATGAGTAAAAGGTATGTTGGAAAGCTAAAATTTATTCAAGTAAAGGCTATCATATGGAAGAAGAGAAGACAGTTTATAATTTAGAATTTCCAGGAAAACACAAAATATACTTTCTAACAACATCTCTATTTTTTCAGTTATAAGCTTCAAATATTTAAGCTTAACAGAAAATTCTCACTCAGTGAAAGTTGGTTAAAATAGACAAGAATTTGTTTAAATATGCTTTTTCTATTAATTCATAACAGATCCCTACATCTCAGAATATTAAAAATGACAACCCAGATACTTTTGTATAATAATGTAAACTACAAGTGAAATCAGATATCAAATAAAAGTGTTATTAAGAACTTGAAAGGCATGGTAACACAGTAATGACGCCATAATAATTACATCATCAAGAGCAATAATGAATTATCCTATTCAAAAATTTAATGAATGGTGGTCATTTTGGTATTACAAAAGCAGAAGTCTAATACCTCAAAATTATGTGGCATGTTTCTTTTCAAAACTTATGTTTCATCTTTCAAAATTGCTGTGCACCAGGGAGGCAAAACAATTTTCAGTGATGGAGAAATTGAAGGACAAAGAGGTAAGTGGTTTGTCTGAGTCACAGTGTGGGTCAATCCAAACTATAATACACAAGTGACGCCTAGCCCAGCCTCCTCTCCTGAAGACCTTCTGCTGTGTAGCGGGGGACGGACCCTCTGCCGGGCAAGGCTAAGCTTGAGAAATTAATTGTGAAGGCTTCATCCACACCAAAATGGAAGCACAGAAAAATGAAACTAATCCAAACCACACTGGTTTATTCATCCAATGGCACCAAATGGTGCTGCCATTGACACACAAAACGTTCTGGCTTTAGTACAGGTCCTTTGGGGAATTTTTTTTTGTTTCTGTAACCACATTAAAAGTGCTGTATGTGTGAGCTAGCGAGAGGTGGTGGCTGAGAGCACAGAGAGCAGTGGCATCAAAACGCCGTCTGGTGGCTCAGGGAAGCATGTGGGGGTTGGGCTTTGTACACCAGTAAAATAGATGACGGAGGAATAAAAATATTTTTAATAAGTGGGGATTTGAAGACTCTCATGTCTTATTTATAGTTTCATTTCTACTTCCATTTTACATTTCATTAGAATCAACTATACAAATCTTTGGAATTTAAAGAGTGTAACTGATTCTGGATTTTTTTTTTTGTGCTTTTCTTATGTAAAGCTGGGATTATACAGGTCACACCCTAATTCTGCCTGCTCTTCACATATGGTATATGATCAGAGAGGATGACATTATACTCTATTAATAATCCAGATACAATAAAACTTTAGGCCTAATAAAAACGTCTGCCCCAAAGATATATGTGATTCTGATGTGCTGAACTTAGGAGAAGGCTTGACACCCACCGTGAGGTGAAACTGGTGACGAGGGTGGGGACAGCTCTGTCAGTACCTAGCATCTGACTTCTACGTAAGGACAGTTTCATTTACTAACATCTGTGATGAATTAGCCCAGGCAAAGAGGATAAATACTTTGTAACAAGTAAAAATATATATTATTTTAGAGAATGTCCATAAAATTATTATTTTTGTCTGCTATTATGCTAGACAATTGCTCCTCCTGAAGATCTTATTTCAGTTGTCAAGATTTTTAGCATAAGTCATTCTCTTCAAGTCTCCTGGGAGCAGTAAAGGGTTGTCCTTGGGGAGCTTTTCCAGATATGTATTTTTCCCTACAGAATCAGTGAATTCCCAAAATAAAGTCACCCACACAATCATTTCTATAAACACTCACTGCCGTGTGTCGCCGGCTCTTGGCCTGGAGGATGCTTTGTATTCTTGGGCTTTTAAACTCACCAGCCTCAGCTTCCTCTTCTGTAAAAACATAGGCCATAATCTCTCCTTCACAAGAGGGATGTTAAAGCCACAAACTTTGCACATGTGGAGGCTTACTAAATATATATATATTTATTATAAATAAATAAATAAATATATATATATATATATTAAAAACATGTTGAAAACCATTACCCGAGTGAGTTATTTGTACATGATTGCGTGAGCCAATTCTGTGATTTGAAACTAAGCTGAGAGCCTTTGACAAAACAGCAAATCATGCGGGGGATTCTGCCTCTAATAAAGTTCTCAAGTCTAAATACACAAGAAATAAAAGGGAGTTCGCCTGTAAAACATCACTTGCGAGGGCTTAGGCGGAGGGGTGCCACACTCACATTGAGGGGGGATGGCACTGCTGGGAGTCCCAGGGTGATGTTGGGCAGCGAGGGGGAGGTGTAGAGACTCAGCAGGTTCAGGGAATCTTCGTGAATTAGAATGCGCTGCTGAGGAACCAGTTGCTGTTGGAGAAAATGAATGAGAAAAGGAGATTCTCAAAATATGTCAAAGTCATCACTTCTCTTAGTAAATGTTCAAATTTCTTAAAGCAGTTTTTAATTTATCATAATGAGGAAAATTACTAAGTACTTGCTGTATGTTTCTGTATCTAAATGTTATAGAATAAAATTTAAGTGATTTTTTTTTAATCAAAGGGCTATAAAGTGTGGTGACAGAATTTCTTTTTTTTCATTGTGAAAAATTCATTTGGAAATGTGGCTTTGTGGAGTATAACTAACATGTCTGTCATGTACCAGAAAAATACAAAACTTCCAGCTGGTGACTCTGGCGAGCATTTATAAACCTTTTCACAAAACAAGTAGGAAAAATAACGTCACCAAATAGTCAGAGTTTTATTTACAAAAAAGAAACTCACAGGAGATTAAGCAAGACTATAAGGTGTCTATATTAAGCACATTTTTAATGTAAAAAATTATTAATAAGCTATGGGTGGTGTTATTTCACATCATATACCTTCAAAACCAAATTTAAAATGTTATGAGATTTCTACCCCACAGTAATATGTCTTTACACTGAAATACACTCAATGTTTTGGCATCTCAGTACTTTTTTTTTTCTTTTTACAACAAATACCTTTTTAATGCAACACTAAGAAATTTGTGTTCCCACATGTGGCTTACTATGGCTGCTTGACTTACATTTTCTGTTTAACTCCTGCTCCCCTCCCAGGACTTTTCTACAATGGGAGTTACAAAGGTCTTATTAGACGAGGGAACTCTGGCCTGATATGGTTCCCAAGGGTACAACATCCTGAAAAAGAATACTCCATGTAACAGGAGGACACAGTGACTGCTTTCTTCCCAAACAAAAAGCATATGGGGCTCCAATAATAGACCACCTCCAAGAGAGATACTGCACACTCGGGCTTTGACTAAAGTAAATATAATAACTTGTCAAGCATGTTTGGGGGAGCTGTAGACTTTCCTCAGGACAAACCTGGGATATCAATTAACAAGAGAAAATATGCGCTGATACAATGCAGCCTCAGAATGTCACAGAAGAGGGATGCACCACCAAAACACAGGATGTTATTCCAAAACGTTATCTCAATCATACAGCTGTTTGGAGATGAGTCTCAGCCTTAACATAATACAAGCAGAAGCTCAGAGCGGGGTGTTCCACTGAAGCTTGGATCTCTAACTCAGGCTGTGTTTCTCCTTAAAAGAACATGTCAGCTATTCATGCATGAAAATCGTGTGTTATGTTGAACTATTAATGCTCCATTAAGTTTATATGGCAAAATTAAAGCTGTCTAAAACCCCAAAGCATGAAAATTACTGGGAAAGATTTTTAAATCATAGTGTATGAGATTGTAATTTTATTTTAGGAGCTATCAGTAAATAGTTGTGTATCTGCCTAAAGTAAAATAGCAAGTGGCTATTTTGTTTATATAATGGGCTTTGAAAGTAGTTTTAATATATAATAAATGCGTGGGCAACAAAAGATATAAGAAAGTGAAGTAGTTTTACTAATTTACTGGCAGCTAATACTCTTTTAAAATACAGAAACAACCCACTCATCTGTATTCATAGAAGAGAAAAAAATGTGGAGAAAGAGGAGCTTTAGTTAAAAATGATCATTCAAAACAGTGACTGCTTCCCACAGAAGTGGCCTGACAGAAACTGTGGCAGCCTCAGACACAGGCCTCAGAGATGAGGCTCTCTTTGTGTAAATGACATGACTTTCCTCCCACCCCACTGCATGAAGGCAATGCAGTTGGGTGGAAATGGAGTTCTTCTCAGATGTGGTGATGGAAGCAGCTGGCAGGCTGCTTACACTGGCTTTGGCTGTCGTGAAGGGATTTATTGACACCCTTCTCTGGGATTTCAGGCTGCAGCAATCTCATGCAGGAATTACATGGCTCCATCTCTCATGGGGTAGATTAGTACCCAGTGTCTATCAAGCACCAAGCCCTGGAGATTAGAATCTTCTTCATTAGCACTCCCGAACAGTCTCATGATCATAGTTCAGATCAGAAGACTGAGGGAAAGGAATGGAGTGTGCGGTCTCCTGGTGGAACTAGCAGGGACAGCTCTAATCCATCCTACTTACAGTTGCCCCGGAGGAAAGGAGGCAAGAGAAACAACTGAGATTCATGTCACAGCTGAGAAACTCCCTAAGCCTTCTGAAGAGAATCAAAGGGGAGAAAGTGGGAGCCTGTTTAGAAGATATCCCTGGCAATCATACAGAGAGGAAGATCTACAAACCACAGAAAGCATCCCCCGACATTCCCTGGAGGTCAGTAAGTATTCTCTGTGCCCATGTATGTGGTTGCTCTTTTCGCACGCACTAACACCACATGGAGCTTGGGCTCTGCTTATCACTCTCAACTGTGATAAGGAAATATGAAGAGTCTATGGAGGTTTTCAGGGTTTCAGATCATACTTCACGGGACAAGACAACCCTTTCCTTCACATGGTCTTTTTGAGTACACCTTTATCACTAGGTTTTTCACAGGAAGGGGCTACCTGTTCTGAGTCAAAGGGTATTAATTAAATCTGGAAGTATATTCTTACTGCTGAGTGTACAATCTGTCTAGATTGTGCAGAGAGCCATTTACCTAGACAGTGAAGTCTTGAACTGTGCTCCCCAACTCAGCACTGTTCCAACAGTGTTCCCACAGGCTGCTGTGCTCCCCACCTTAGCAATGTCCTGACCTTGTTCTCACAGGCTGCTGTGCTCCCCACCTCAGCACTGTCCTGACCTGTGCTCCCCACCTCAGCACTGTGAAAAACTCACAGGGATCTACAGGATAACACAGAACTTTTCCAGAAAGTGATGTTGAAAGAGCTTGCGACCATCCTGGGTGCTATATTGTTGAGGTGTCAACATATCACAGCTTAGAACATTGAGAAGACAGCCTCAACATAAAACATTTCCACAAATGGAAACTTACACTGTAGGCAAATGAACTAAAAGCATTAAATAGTAAGGCTATCGTGTGACCTTTATGACACCATTGATTAGTTCCTCAGTGTTGGGTAATGGTGCTAGGTGCAGGGCAGGCAAAGAAACCCTACACCTCTCAACCTCACAAGCTAGTCAGTTGCCAAGAGAAAGGCAAACAAACATTAGCTGTTAGAACAACAATTGTTACATTAAAGGTAAAACATCTGAATGGCGGAGAGATGTCGGTGTGAATCCATGTGCTCATGGGTTCATGGTAATTCACCAGGGACATGCAGGATAGCCTAGAGCTGAGGGGTGTGTGTGTGTGTGTGTGTGTGTGTGTGTGTGTGTGTGTGTGTGTTGGGGGAATATTCACATTTTAGTAAGTTCTTTTAAACTGTATTTAACCCCTTTCCTCATGATAATGTCAATTGGCAGGAGACCTTACAGATGAATAAAATATACGTAGACTGGAAAATGTATGCCCCTCCAAAGAGATAACCATTCAGCCATAGTCATTAAGAAGCTACTGGTTTAAACAAAAGGGATAAAATCTCTCCCAAATTGGGGACTGATAAAAATTAGAAAAATGGTCATTATTAATGTTGTGGATGAAGGAAGCTAAAATGGGCGTTATAGACAGGTACAATAATTCTGGCCCATAGTTCAGAAATACCAACCATCAGGGCAGCAGACATCATGGCTCTAGGGAAGGCTCGACTGGAAAGGAGAATGTCCAGAACACCTCTCATGAAGTGGTCAGCATGGTCTGGCTACCCTGCTTGCTAAGGAATAGGACAGGGTGGATAAATTGGAGCAGCAGGCACCATGCATTTTTATAGTGATTAAAAGCATTCATAAGCTATTGCTGGATCAGTGATAAAAGTAAGAAAAGAAATGAGGTAAACAACTGTGCCACTCATAACTCTCCAAAATTCACAAGACTCAAGACAAAAGGAACGCACTATGTAAAAAAAAAAAAAAATACAGGTCACACCACAGGAAGACCTGACTACCCTGGAGGCAAGAAACACAGAAGGAGAGACTAAAAAGAGGCAAGGAAGAAGAGAGTGACTAAAAGAGGGCTACAAGGAGAGGAGGGAAGCAAATAAATGAATGCCTTTCTTATTGACACCTCTACTTGAAAACACATATGTAAATATATCTGCCTACTTTAAATAATAAGCTCATGGAGAAAGTGAACATAGATTTCTCAGTTTACTGAATATTCAAAATTATCTACAGAGAATCAAAAAGAAAAAGAAAAAAAACTAACTTTAGGTAAGACATTTAGACTAGAAAAAAAAAGTGATAAGTATGAGCGCTTTTCCTCTGAGCTCTGCGAAGTGTGGGCTGTGGATGCAGACAGCCGCCTACCTTCCCTAGAAAACAGATCCTTTGGCTCAAGACACAGAACCTCTGACTGTCTTATGAGGTGGCATCCATATCTACGAGGATGGCCTATAGGAAGACAATGTTCCACATAATAAAGAAGAATTATTTTCAGAAAGTGAAACTCAAGTTTTAATTTTTCACTTTACACTGAAGATCATATTACTAAAAAGTGTTAGACCAAAATTATCACAATAATAATTTTTATATACTGTATTCTCCTGCTTCTTTAATTCCTCCCTGATTCTTCCTATCTTTCGACCCCATATAAGTTTATGTTCTCTCTCTCTCTCTCTCTCTGTTTCTATGTCTCGCTCTACTCTCTTCTCCTTTCCCTTTCTCTCTCAAGAAAGTACCAAAGAGTAAAATAAAAGCAGAAATCAAAATAAATAAACAAACGAAGATAAATACCAAAACGAAATCAACAAACAGCCCACAAAGGGAACCGGAGTCTGTTCTGTGCTGGTGGACCACTGCTGGGCGTGAGGCCTCAGAATGTGGTTGACATACGCAGTGCCACTCCATGGAGGAAACCGGAAGACGGAATTTTAATTGTACTTAAGTACATGCGTATGCACAAGTGCATATCTGTATGGGTGCCCAAGGAGGTCATAAGACCGAGTCAGGTTTCCTGGAACTGGAGTTACTGTGGTAGTTATGCACCCTGCATGGGTGCTGGGAACTGAACTTGGGTCCTCTGGAGAAAACAGTAACTCTTGATGAGCTGCTGAGAGGCCTGGGAGCTGGCGTTTTAACTTTGCACTCATGTTTTATAAAAGCTCTTGCTTTGCAACATTGGATCATGTGATTATTGTGTCATCACAACTTCCTTTCCAAGTAGGGGACAAGTTTTAATTGCTGCCGAGTAAACCACAGCTCCGAGGCACTAACTTAGACAATAAGACAGCAGGAAGGCAAATGTCATAACAACTATTACAAAACAGCAGGCAGATGAGTCATGGGGCTGGGGCAATACAAGTGTCATTTCCGGGGATCTCAGAACACTTACCCTTGTGATCAGAATAATTTTCCAAAAAAAAAAAAAAAAATCATTTGTTTTTGCTGGGAATTTTTTTTTTAAACATAACAGCAGAAACAGTCACTTATATCTTATATTTAACTAGAAATAAGCCAGCGGCTTGACTACTGTAAAGATAGCTCTCAAGTAGAGCTACTGGACCTAGAATCGTGGCATTGATATCCACGGAAGCATATTTGAACCCACAAGCTCATAGTAGTAACAGTCCAAGTAGCTAGATGACTAAAGACATCTCTGATGGGAGCTGAAACAGAAACGCTTGAGGTTTCAGTTTCCAACCAAGTTTACAAAGGAGTAAAATGAGTAGCTCCAACAACGTGGATAGTGGGACTGAGCATATATAAAAAATAGAAGAAATGGAACAGAAATGGTCAGAGCAGAAGAAGGCCCATTCTTATCGGAGAGCTACTCTCCTGAAGACAAACACCCTAATGAGTTTTCCCTATGAGGAGTCCACACGGATGACAAGCTTCTTTCAAGTTCCGGAATGTACCACCTGCCTTGCAAACACTGACTCCTCTCAAGCCAGTGGCTGGAATCAATATTGCCACCTTTTAATCAATCAGAAATCTGAGAATTAATAGAAGTCTGGCAACTTGACCAATAACAACCAAGCAAGGTTCGAGCCCAGCTTCAGACAGAATAAATGCTTAGATGTCCACTATCCTCAGGGTATCCTGTGTTCCAATAATGAGTACTTTCTCTTTCATTCCGTGCTTCATCTAAATCAGGTAGAATTTGCAGCTTACAAGCTAGAAAACAAAAGCATTCTCATCTGAGGGCTCAAGAACTTCAGATGTGCCTTTCCAATTTTCTAAGTAGCAAATGAAAGTAGAATCCCAGTCATTTATATGTGGTCTGGAGGAATTAGGTGATATATTCTCCTTACAGGAGTTGTGCTGAAAGAGCCATTCCTACCCATACTGTATTATTTTTTTTAAGTTGCTGAGATTGGCCTAGGCCCTTCTGTAAGCAAGATCCCCAGCACAAAGAGACACACTCAACCCTCTCTTCCTTTCTTTTTCTATTATTTCCTATTGAGAAAGGTTTTTACTATGTTGCACAGGCTGGCCTTAGCTCGCTCTGTAATCCTGGCAGACTGAACCTGAGATATTTATCCCTTAAAGTTGAAAACCCATTTGTGCTATTTCATCAAAGCAGGATATTTTGTAAATGATGAATGACACAACTGAGGATTTTAGAATTGCTAAGTTGTAAGCAATTTGTAAGGAATTTTGATCTCACACTTTCTGTCTGTCGCTGTGAACTCACATTCTATTATTAATCTTGGGGGGGTAATGTAAAAATCACACAGCGAATCCTAAGTGATAGCACCCTTTCCTGTGTCTGGTTTCTCTAGGCGGTAATGTGTCATGCCCAGGATGTTAATCTGCTGACAGTTTGCTGCCTACTGCTGCCTCCTTACCTATCCAGGATGAATTGCACGACGGAGCTCTGTGAATGTAATACAGCAGAAAACACATGTGAGCCATCAGGGTTGCATTTTCGGTTCTGGGCCATGGAGCGGCTCTCCATCAGTGCACAAAGGTCTGCCCACCTGGCCTTTGGGATCACAGTTCACACACACAATTAATTCATTATGAGGTAACTCACTGCTTGCTTTTGAACTAACCTTGCAAGCTTTGGAAGTGAATGTCCTGCCACTGACCTGGAGAAATCCCTCTACCCTTTAAACTCCATTAAATCACATTTCCTTCTGCTTTGTTTTGTTTTTCTTTTCTGACCGGTGATGGTGGGAGGAAAACTTTGCAGTGACAGAATATGTTCAACAGTTCGCTGGAAAGCTAAGATCCCCAAGCCCAACTTGTGAGAATAAAAGATTTAGGAATGCAGCATGGATTGAAATAAAACACACTCTCCAGTTTTTGCTGTATCTAGGCATATATTCAGCTACATACACACAAACACACACAGATAGATAGATAGATAGATAGATAGATAGATAGATAGATAGATAGA